CTCAAGGCCAAGCTGCGGCGCTGGGGCAGACAGCTCTGCTACTCGCTGCTGCTGCTGCTCTATGTGAGCTGGCCCGCGTGCCTCACACCCCCTCTCCGTTACAGGCTGGTTTTCGGGATGCTGTACCCTGCCTATGCTTCCTACAAGACTGTGAAGACCAAAAACAGCCGAGAATACGTGAGTTGGGTGCCTGGGCAGCTCCTTCCCGGGCTTCAGCCCCGGGCTGACAGGCTCCCCCCCCCCCCCCCGGGCCGCTGGATGATGTACTGGATCGTCTTTGCGCTTTTCATGGCCATGGAGACCATCACCGACCTGCTTATCTCATGGTGAGGCCGGTGTGTGGGCACTGCTGCTGCGGGGCAGCGGGTCTGTCGGGGTCCCCGTGCCCTGGGGGAAGGAAGGGGGCTGCCTCCCCCCTCTGCCTGCAAGGAGAGGGGCACGGGCTGCCCTGCTGCCTGCCCGGCACCTGGCTCTAGGCAGGCCCTGCATGGGGTCTCCAGGCCTGATGCTAGGGGGAGAGGCACCGTCCCTCCTGCAAGGGAGCAGGACGTGCCCTTGGACCCCCCCGGCATCTGCTCGCCTCTATCTTCTCCCCCTCTCTGGCAGGTTTTCCTTCTACTACGAGATTAAGATGGCCTTCGTCATCTGGCTGCTCTCCCCCTACACCGGGGGGGCCACCCTGCTCTACCGCAAATTCGTGCACCCCACGCTGTCCCGCAAGGAGAAGGTAAGGGCCGCCTGGCTCTGAGGAGGGGGTCCCACGTGCCCTGGGGGGCAGGCCAGGGGCTCGCAGGACCCTGGGCTCCCCGCGCCGGACCGGCGATGCCCTGGGACGTGCTGCTGTGCGCACTCAGCACCGCCCCGGTTGTCTCGGGCAGGAGATCGACGCGCGCATCGTCCAGGCCAGGGAGCACGGCTACGAGATGATGGTGCGCTTCAGCAAGAGGGCCTTCAACATGGCAGCCACGGCCGCGGTCCAGGCGGCCGCCAAGGTACCAGGAACGGGGCAGGCTGCTCCGCTTCCCTGAGGATGCTTCGGGCCCAGGGATCCCGGGAGGAAACTGCCACCCCAGCATGGGTGGCCTCGGTGGTGGGGGTGTCAGGAGAGGGGTCTCTGGGTGCAGAGCCCTGCCCAGTGGGATTGCATCGCCCTGGGCTGTTGGTGTCTGGACCCACGTTCGGGTGCCCCGGTGCTTTGGGGCTCGCCCTGTGGGGCTCACTTCCATCCTTCCCGTGTGTCCCCCACAGAGCCAGGGCACGCTGGCTGGGCGGCTCCG